ATTTTATGTTCTCTTTTTTCCTTCTCTTTTTTCCCTACCACTAAAAACGATCAACTTTGAATTTTGTTTTTCACGTTTTTTTTTAATTATTTTCTTTTTCTTTTTCTTCTTTTTTTTCTTCCCTTCCCGTTAAATTTGAGGATCAAATCATAACTTTATTTTACTATTCTTACAATACCCACTAATCCATTACTTTAGTGTTTAGATAATCTGATTTAGCATTTTATAATTTCCCTATTATCAAAATAAGATAATGATAAAAAAAAAAAAAAAAAAAAAAATTACAAGAATTTCAGCAAATAACATGCAAGAATAGTACTCATATAACAACTAATGAATAATGTGATTCTCTCTAAAAAAAAAAAAAACTAATAATGATCAAGAAGCCAAGTCCTTCTCCGCAGTCGTAACGACACGATTCAGTTGCCAAAGAAGTTGCGCGCCTCAAAGTCTACAAGTCTACGGCAGCTCCCGGAGTATATGGCGGTGGTGGTGCGTGGTGGACGGAGCCACCACCGCCGCCAGGGACATACATATCTTCGCAGTGGCCTTTGCCGCCAGGGATGTTAGAGCACGGAGAACCGGTAGACGGTGGCACTGGAGCTCTCATATTCTCCTCTCCATTTATAGACATCGACACCAACACGAAAACATAAAGAATAAGACATATTTTAACCCCTAATGAAGCCATTTTTATTTTTATTTTTATTCAATTTGTGTTTATAATTCTTTTTGAAGAGGGTACGTACGTGCATAATTATTTATATATGATGTTCGAACGTTGACTTCGGCCCGATTTTGCAGCTGCTCCTTAGGATAGAAACATGGCATTTACATTTTGACTGGCCAAGAATTATTTATACTTTGTTAAATAACGGTTGGTAAGCAAAAACAAACAAAAATAATAAATAAATAAATATATATATATATATATATATATATATATATATATATATATATATATTGGGCTTTATTGGTTAGTTGAGTATTTAAATTGTCCCAAAAAGAAGAAGAGCATTAAAAGGCCCATTAAGGCCCAATCGAGCAATACTCAACTTCAAAAGAGTAGTCCAATTTATTATTATTATTTTTTGGGTAAATTACAAACACCCCCTAGGTATGGTCAATTTACAAAAAAACCCTCTTGTTTGGATAATTACATCTACCCCTCAACTATGATTTTTCTTACACCTCAACCCTTATTGTGTCAAATTCAACATAATCATCTAGATTTCGTGGAATGTGCCCTAGTTTGTACTCGTTTTGTTTAAAAATACAGTTTCTGATGCACCACAATCTAATAAATAGTACAAGGCAAGAAACACATATTATGATCATCTTGTTTCAAAATGTAGATTTTGAATGAGATAAAACGAGTACAAAAGTAATAATATTCCATATAATCTCGAAGATTCCACTAAATTTGAGGAAGTAGTGGTAATTATCCAAACAAGAGGGGGTTTCTCGTAATTTGATCATACGTCAGGGGTGGTTGTAATTTACCCTATTTTTTTTTTATCGAAGTTAATTCTTTGAGTGTGTGTACAATGCACAATAATTATATATTAAAAAACTAATTATATATTACGGCCTCGTTTGATGGGGAAAGTTAGTCATAATTAACTAAATAATTAGATTTTATTTGTTGTTCTAAATCCCTAAACAGGATCAACTCGCAAATATTATATAATCATAATTTATATTGCCTTTAAGCATGTTTTTTATTAAATCATCAAAAATCGAAAAATATAATTGAGTTTCATGTATCTTACCTCACCAAGTAAATGGAGCCTAAAAATAATTGGCCTTCTTTCTTTGACTACTCCATCTGCCATCACTTGAAACGTTACAAGATAAGATAAGCCGCATAAAATCCAAAATATCTCATATGAAATTAAAATAT